CGATCTCCCGGCTGCCGATCTCCCGGCTGCCGATCTCCCGGCTGCCGATCTCCCGGCTGCCGATCTCCCGGCTGTCGATCTCCCTGCTGCCGATCTCCCTGCTGCCGATCTCCCTGCTGCCGATCTCCCTGCTGCCGATCTCCCGGCTGCCGATCTCCCTGCTGCCGATCTCCCTGCTGCCGATCTCCCTGCTGCCGATCTCCCTGCTGCCGATCTCCCTGCTGCCGATCTCCCTGCTGCCGATCTCCCTGCTGTTGATCTCCCTGTTGTCGATCTCCCTGCTGTTGATCTCCCTGTTGTCGATCTCCCTGCTGTTGATCTCCCTGCTGTCGATCACTCTGCTGTTGATCTAATGTTATAACTTGTTGAAGTTTATGTTGATATACAACAGCAATTGAAGTAGGTTCAATAAATTCATTTTCATCACAATCATTAAAAGGATCTAATGGTATAATACTTTTATCATCAGCTTCATCTCTGGTACAGCAGCAGTACAGTTTACATTCCTTCCACCAGTTCAGTTCACGAAACCTCTTGTAATGTCTGCAGAATAAACAGACCAGTGCTAATATGAAGAATATTTGTGAAACTCCATTAGCTAATGTTGAGAACAGTATAGCTATCTTAGTAAGATCAATGAACTCTTGAATCTCCTTCGTATTATTAGTATTTATCAACCCATCTAATATGAAATAAGCAATTCAGTAACAACAACAGCATTATTGTGTATTACCTCCTGAATCTCTCAGTACAATATCTGGTTCAGTATTATCATTTATTGCAATCGTAAAACAAATATCTCCTTTGCTGTTGCTGTATCTGTATGGACAGTTAGCCCACCCAGCAATGAAAGTACTAGTAGGATATGCACTGATGGGAATAACCAGTAATACTGATAGTACAATTGTAATATACAGCATCACAATACAGCAATTTTTGCCAGATCTTTTACAAGTATAGTAGCTACAGGAGCGATTGGAGCAGCAGGAGCAATCTTTTTCCTCACAATCTTCCAGTTTAGCTGGTTTGATGCATTGGCAGGTGATAAAACTAAGAACTTTCAAACAGCCAGGTACCCAGTGGGTAGTGCAAGCTGGACAACCTGGCTCAATAAAAAATATATTAATTAATTATTATACAACAAACACCTACTTCTTTCAAAGCACTCCTCACAGCAGTCACTACAACCAGTTGAATCAATATACTGTAAAAAGCATCATCTACCATCATGTTATACTACAGACTTACCTACAGTACAGTATATGTAGATCTAATGGAAAGAAGTTTATTACAATGACTTGTGATAAGGAACTAGATCCTTCAGCTACAGTGAACAAGGAAATATAGATATAGTGTAATAACACATCATTATAGTGAACAATGGGGTCAGTGTGGGCTGACATTGAAGGAATGTGATTATGTTGTGATAATATCATGTCACCGGTAAATTACTAATGAAATTATCAGTAGTATATATAGTGGAGTATCTAATAATAGTAACAAGGCAATAATGTCTAATAATAGTAACAGTGATGGTAACAGATAGTAATGAGTATTACCAAGCGTTAGCGCTTGGTATGTTACTTAGTAATATCTATCTATCTATGGTAGGGTTGGGTTTAAAATCTTCAGGAATTGTTTATGACTTATTCGACGGTCCAGATATCCTTTATAATTTTATGATAACACATCAGTTTTATAAAAAGTAGTTAAAAACTTCCACAACATAGTATTACGGCAAATGAATGCATGCACGACTGCATGCACCAAATGTGACCATAATTGACAAAAGGTACCTTATGGTGGATAGGAAAATTGGTCTTTATAGCCTTAAAAATCCTACTTCCTGAGCTCCATTCATAAAATTGCTCCAGAGGATGCAAAAAGTTACTATGTAACTTTTAGAAACAATTGTTGACTAACAGAGCACTCACAGGCTGATATTTTTCATCATAATGATGAATTTTAAAATCCGCCATAAGGTACCTTTTGTCAATTATGGTCACAAATGTTCAGGTTTCTCCTTCTTCTTCTTCCACAGTCTAGTCAGAACTACTCCTAGAGTTTTTATCCTAAAAATATGATTTTTGCACCATTCTGCTACACTTGAGGGACGCTAGTGCAGTGTGGCTTGGTATTTGTATTTCTACAAAATGATTTTTGTCGTTATTTTGAAGCACACATGGACTCACCAAGTTGTTTGACGCCATTTTGATGCATCCAACTGCGCATGCTCAGTATTACTCCTTTGTTCTGTTCTTACTGACTGATATGATGAGATTGAGAATTTGAGATGATGTGCGTGCCTAAACACCCTATCTACTTACACCAAGATTCTCTTGAAGTGAGAGAAATTATTGTAAAATGATAAACGTAATAAATTATTTTTTATTAATTACTTTATGCTTCAATTTGCCTTCATTCTTTCCTTCCTTACTTCAATCTCTTCAAGTAAGGTAAATATATAAAGTACCGTACAGAAGGAAATTTTGGAGGGACTAAATTTTGGTTATTGGCGAATTTTAATTTGGCGAATTTGTGGCCACGTGCCATTGAGCATGCGTATAATGGCTCAAAATGGCGAATTTTTATTTTGGCGAATGGCTATCAAAACGCCAAATTCGCCAAATTTAACTACCTCCAAAATTTCCTTCCATACGGTAAATTGTCTGTTTTATACATTTATGGGTATGTAGTCTCGCCCCGCCCCTTTGCTACCTGTGGAGCTGAAGGAAGGCTCTGGAGACACTGCCATCATCTAAAATGTGTGCAGAGAAGAACACGTGGTTGGGCTACATCATGTAACAGAGGAGACCAGATCAGTCAAAATAGCTGAAACAGTTGCTTTGCAGCTAAGAAAAGTTGAGGATATAGTCCCTTGAACATCTCTTGCAGGTCCTTCCTCTGCAGGTAAGCGAAGGGGTGGGGCGAGACTAATGGGTATGTTAAAGGGTGGGGCTTAAACGCCCTCTCCAGTCCATGTGCATGTACGTGCAGCCTCAATTAGGGAGTGGCTTCCATAGACCATGCATGGCTGTGTCCTACTACTATTATAATTAGGCCACTACAATTAGATTTATACCCGTTTCCCACCCACATGGTCCCCCCCTCACTATTTCATTACTGTAGGTAATATTCACGGCTGCTAATATTTGCAATAATAAAAGTGTAGTGAAGTAGCATAGAAACTAATAGAGTGTTGCTATGACAACAAGACCACATATTTACAGTCTTCAGCTAATTTTCTGTTCTATAGCAGCTTTAGTGGAGCCATTCATCAATAGCGACTTGTTCTGTTTCTGTTAGCTTCTTGTGTGAACCTCTACCTCCAACCTCCTTGCTGAAAATTGTTGCTGGTTGGCCGGTCATGATAACAAACCACAACTGGAATGGGTGGAGAGTTTCAAGATACAGGGGTGAGTTCTGAAAACTGGTTAAAGCAGCTTCAAAAAGATCAAGGGCTAGTAAGAAGTAATAACAACTCAATAACACTGCATCAGGAGGCTTGGCTTTAATATCAAATTACATCTGGTATCTACATGTACATGCATAATAATTGCTGGTCACAGAAACAAATTGTGAATATTAGCAGCCATGAATATGTCACAAGTCACAACCTATGGTATTGCAGTTGTTTATACAAGTTATAATGAGTAAAGTAATAAACAAATCCGCCCGCTCACCTTTGTAATGGGATACTGTAATTATAGTGGCCTTAGCGAGGGATTTTTATTGGGGAAAATATTCATTATTTATTTTATTAGCAGGTATTGCCACAAATAAAATGGTGGCTATGAAACAGGAACAAGTCATGAGCTTATTTCCAGCAAATGGTCAATAAAATTAAGATTGGGTTCCTTTCCAGCAGTAAAATATGGATACAGCTTAAAGCCTGTGACTGTTTCTACAAGTATGCTAGTACATGTATGTGTATGCTAACCCACTTTGTTTCCTTATTTTTTGTATATTTTGTATCCGTTAATGTTGTGATGTTTATTTAATTAATTCTTCAAAAGATATCGTATAGCGGGAAATTTTTGAAATTTGGAGGGAATTAAATTTGGCGAATTTGGCATTTTGATAGCCATATGCCAAAATAAAAATCTGCCAATCAGGAAAATTTAGCAATTTACCAAAATTTAACTCCCTTCAAAATGTCCCACAGTCCCACTACCGTATGGAAGGAAATTTTGGAGGTAGTTAAATTTGGCGAATTTGGCGTTTTGATAGCCATTCGCCAAAATAAAAATTCACCATTTTGAGCCATTATACACATGCTCAATGGCACGTGGCCACAAATTCGCCAAATTAAAATTCGCCAAATTAAAATTCGCCAATCATCAAAAATTAGCAATTCGCCAAAATTTAGTCCCTCCAAAATTTCCTTCTGTACGGTATATGGTAACTCCTTTAATACATGTACATTTACATGTAGTTTAGAGCTGCCAACTGGTGTCAGGTTAACCGGTTATGTCAAGATGCAGTTTTCATGTTGTATCTACATGACATGCAGACTTATATTTATTGCTCAGAGTGTCACATTTATATTCTTGTACATGTACATGTATGTGCATTTGAAGAGTCCATATTTCCTCACTCAGTTTAAGTATACACATGAACAAACTTCACTTGCTGCTTCAGCTGCATAGTATATGTACTAGCTATTTTTGCCACTACTGGTAATTTTTCTACCCAATACCCACTCTTATTTAAACTTTTATACGCAAACCTTCACTATTTATTTTATTCAAACTCCATAAATGAATGTACATGTACTTTTATAATCATGCCTCCAACTCTCCTTAAGACACACTAGTTCACGATGTTATGTACATGTATATATTGTCAGATTTATACAAACGTACTCAAAATTCTCTCTCTCTCTCCCTCAGTTCCTCCCTCCCCATCCATGTGTCTCCCTTTCTCTCTGTCCCTCTCTATCTCACACTGGAGCTCCATCAATAAACCTAGGTAAGTTTATAATAATAATAATAATAATAATAATAATAATAGCATAGTTTCAATAGCAGTAGCAAAAAACTTACCAATAATAATATTAATATTAATAGCAGCAAAATAATAATAGCAGCAGCTCTTAAAATACAGCAGTTCTAATCACAGTACATTATTTAGTAACAGTAGTTATTAATGTCACTATCACACTTATAAATGCAAAGGCAATGGATACATAAGCTATGTTTAGATTAAAAGGAATACTAGCACACAATATACGTAACCTGAAGCTAAACTTCCTCCTCTTCATAGACTCAATGAATTCCTGCATTACCTTCTCTGGAATAGCATTATATTCATTGCTCGCTTTCTCACTGATTCTTCTTATAACACGTTGTCTTGTCCTGGTAACACTAGCAGCTCTGAGGCAAGGATGAAGCAGAAAGAGCCAGTGTACTACACTGTACTTAAACAAGAATCCAATCTCTCCAGGATGAAAGCCAACCCCATGCTCAATGTGAGATATTCTTGATTTAACATGAAGTGCTATGGCATCGATCAGTAGTGACATTATCATGAAGGTTGATATTATATGAAGTATCCAGTGGAGTAGGAACCATAACTGAAGCCAGCTAAGTGTGGATACTGCTGTATTGACGAAATGTCTATCACGTGCCTTGAGGTACCTCTTAGCATTTTTATCGGTGATGTAAATACCCTTATCAAAGTCATCATTTTGTTCAACTTCAAGTTTGATGTTTTTAAAATAATCTGTTACCATGTCTGAAAGTTTTTTGTTATCTTCATTAAGAGGAATTATGTGAGCAGGAGTAGCTTCATTAGTACCAGGAGGAGTAACATTACATTTGTATACCTCATTAATATAATACACAAATAGTTCTAATTCTTCACATTTTCTCTGTATCCCGTACATCAACTTTGAGAATATGAAGCAACTGACCAGAACACGAAATAAAGAATAAGTGTACAATATAAGAGCAGCAAATTCAAGATTAAACGTATCATTTGTCGATCTATCTTTATTCTGTTCACAATAAAGACAAAAGAATACTCCAGCAGTGATAGCAAGTAGCATAAGCCCAATAACAAATCGTGTAACGTAATGACACAATCGTTCACCTTGCAGTGGTGTGTTAGTACGCTCATCTTCTGTACTAAAAAAAGTAGCACCCTCTGCCTCTATTTTCTTGTTATAAATTGCTGGAACTTCTTTTTCTTTGTTTATTTCCATTAGATCACTGTCTTCAGTTTTGTCATTAAAAGGATCCAATGGCAGTTCATCTTTTTCATTTTCAGTGTCACAGCTCAGTTTTTTTAAGAAGTTTTGAATTTTCAAAAAGCAATTTTCATTAAAACTTTTATAGTGTTTAATATACAGGCACCACAGTGCCCATATAAACAATACGTGAGATACTGCAGTAGCTGTTGTTGAGAATAACAATGATATCTTACTGACATCAATGAAGTCTTGAACTGCTACTTTAGTATTGCTATTACTAACATTGTTATCTAGTATAAAAAGATAGTAGTATTATAATATTATATTACTTCATTACATACACTTATGCCATAAGAATTAAACCATAAAATCAAAATGAAAACTCACCTTCAGCATTTCTCAATACAAGTGGTGGCAACTTCATTTCAGTTATATTGAAATAGAGTGTATAGCATAATTCAGATATTTCATATTCAGTGCCTTCTCTACATGTAGCCCAACCAACAATGAACATAACCAGAGGAAATATGTTGATGGCAACTGCTGCAATAGATATAATCATTATGAAGCAGCCACAATAGATTTGACAACAGCCAAAGTAACAGTATTTCTTAGAGCGGCAGCAGGGAATCCAAACAGAATTGCACTTATCACATTTATACGTGGCACGGCATGTGTCATTTCTATTCAACTCTTGGCCACAGCATTTGCTGTCATAATGACATCAGTACTTTTCTCCCTTCCTTTTTGGTCATATCCATTGGCAGGTAATAAAATTAAAGAAAAAAAATGGAAAGAACCATTTTGTACTTATTGTGCAGCATTCTATATTTTTAATAATATGAATATCAATTGTCACATTGTTAATTTGGACTTACTTTTTAAAGTTTTCTTTGAAGCTGGCTCTTGTCTAATACTAGCAAATTACTTTTGTATAAAAACAATATAGACTTGAAATTTAACGCTTACCCTTCAGCCATTATGGTTGAGTTATTGATATAAATGTAGAGCTAAGCAACAGGTCAGTCACTAGTATAAGGTCACTGTAGTTGAAGGTGAGGTTGATATAGATCTATTGTGTTATGATAATCCACTAACTATGAATATATTGAAGTACTAGGTAGATGTATACCTCAGTGTGGTAAACAACTGTGGACTCTACAAATAATTATATGATATCCTTTATTATTATTATTATCCAGTGTACTCTATACTCTAGGAATACCTACCTATATACATGTAATCATTAATGAACAATAAATCTAACTATATCTAGTCTTGAAAGAACACTACATGTGAATGTTATGATAATCTCATGCAGTTAAACTAACAATGAAAGTATCAATAGGTATGTGTCTAATAATAGTAACATAACTAAACATCTAAAAATAGTGGCACAGTCACTAATGAGTATACAAAGCAATTAAATCCTTAGAATTGTAGCTTTTTACATAAGGACATTTATATAGATTCAAATGCTGTTTTTGTGCTCTACTGGGGTAATCTGTTATTTGTATTTAACATGCACATTAATTTTATTTTATTAAAGTCAACTACCACAAATACAGCTGTCTTCCTGACCTCAGTAAATGGGCTAATGGTGACAGCAAGAAGACTCTAAGTGTGTATAGTGTGTTGTAGTTATTGCTCTGATTTTGCTGTTAGTAGGCAATCATGTTTGTTTATTTTAAAAAGATTTTATTATAAAAAATGAACTACAAATCAGCATAAGAATAATAATGTAAACTTTATTTTTAAAATAATAATAGCAGCAATAGCAGATTAAAGCAGCATAATAATAATAAGATAGCAGCAAAATTAGTAATAATAGATAAAATTAGTTATAATTAGTAAAAGCACAGCAATAAGCAATAAAAATAATAGCAATAATTATAATGTAATAAAAAAACCCAGCAAAGCAAAACTAAAACAATGTAGCAATAGTAAAAGGAAGCATAAGATTAAAAGAGTTGTTCTTAGCTAGTAACACTATTTACTAAACTAACTACAATACCAACAAAGCCAAAGGCAATAGACAAATAAGCAATGTTCAAGTTAAAAGTTATACTAGCACACATTATACGGAACCTGAATCCAAATTTCCTTCTCTTCATAGACTCAATGAACTCTGATATGACACCTTCAGGGAGATTAGTAAACTTATAAGCTTCATCACTGATCTTTCGTATCACACGTTGTCTTGTCCTAGTGACACCAGCAGCTCTTAGACAAGGATAAACTAACACAAAACACTGCACTAGACTGTACAAGAATAGGAACACTATCTGTACTGGATGGAACCCAACTCCTTCCTCTACATGTGGTACCCTATCCTTAACATGAAGTGCCACTGCATCAATAAGTACAGTGAGTATCATGAAGGTTGATATTATATGGAGTAGCCAATGGAGTAGGAACCATAGCTGAAGCCAGCTAAGTGTTGCTATTGCTGTGTTAACAAAATGTCTATCACGTTCCTTGAGGTACTTTAAAGCCAATGCTCTTTTGCCATCAATAGTATCTTCATTTGCTTTAATGCGCTCCTTGGTTAATTCTTTGATAATGTAATCACATCTATCAAATTGTGCTTCTCTTCGTAATCCTATTTCTCTGTTTGCATTATTTGTGTTGTACTTCTCCTTTATATTTATACTTTTAAGCATTTTTTTAATTTTCTTTTCTTTATTGTTGCCTGAATTAACCTCAATATCATCAGATGTATTTTCAATAACATGACATATAGCTTTGTAAACTTCATCTTCATCTTCTGGTGACTCTTCCTTATTCATTAACGTTTGTGCCATCTTTTTCTTATCTTCACATGATATAGTAAATTTTAGCATTTCAGTAGCTACTACTTTAAGTTCAGAATTGAATCTCTCTTCAACATATATTTCTACTTTATTATTATTAACATT